CCGCCGCCCCCGCCCTTGCCCGCCTGCCCGCCGCCCCGAACCCGCTCCCAAAGCTGCCAGTCCTAGGTGTGGCGTGGTGCGCTGGCCGCCAGGTCTCCCCCACCCACCGACCGCTGCCTTCGGGCCTTGCCCCTCGTGTGCCCTTTCAGGACTGTCCTAGAGACCCCCTACCCCTAGCTCTCCCCCTTCTAGTCATCCAGAGTTTATCCGCCCCGTTCTGACCCTCCTGTTAACCAAACCGTCCCCATCAAATCACTCTTAACAAGGAGAACATCCCCCCACCTCAACGTTTCTCCCTCCCTCCCAGAGACATCCCGTGTTTCTCCAGTGGACCCTGCTCTATCACCCATGTATTCCTCAGCCTCAAGATTTCCCCTTCTCTGTTCAACCAGGGCCTTCCTGACAAAACCCTTCTTTTACACTTGCTCCCAAATTCCCTTCCAGAGTCTTCCCTAAAAACCCTCTGAATGCTCACTTCTGTCACTTGGCCCACCTGGAGTGGGCCAGGTTCCTTGCTGCAAAGTTCCTGTTTTTCCCTTTATAATTAATAAGCAGTTTGTGGGGAAATACTTTGAGACAATGTAAATGTCCTGTTTTGGGGAGGACAGAGAGCAGAAGAATAGTGAGTCCTGCCTGAAGGGACAGGCCAGGGGCTGGGCATGGATTGAGGGTGAGGTGGCCAACCAAACTTTGTCCTATTTTATTATGTTGCCTTTTAGTCCTTAACACACTTCTCTCTTTGATCTTCTGGGCCTTTCTTTTGTCTTGCTTTCCCATTTCCACACTCTGTATCAACAGCACTTCCCACGGGGCCCAGGTTGCTGGGACTCCAATCCTTTTCCATATTGCTTTCTAGGTAAGACCCTGCTTCTCCTTCTTGACTGTAGAGGCGGATCCATCCAGGTTGAATCCCGGCTGTGCTTCTTACACACTGGGCGACCTGGGGCCAATAACTTAATCTCTCTGTGCTGTATACAGATTTTACAGCATAAAACCAATAATGGCCTTCACAGGGCTATGGACAGACTTAGACAAGGTAAACCATATAAAACCCTTAGAACAGTGTGTAGCAGTTACTAAGTGCTCAGTATCATTATTAGCAGACCTAGAGCCTTTCTCCTATCACTTTTCCCTCCCTGATACCACCACATACCCGGGTCTTGGTTCCTTTCGCTCTTTGGCTGGGGCTGCCTCTACCTCCTCCACCCCCACCTTCCCATGTCTGCCTTCTTTCTCCTCCTCCAGTCTCACCTTTAAGTTCACTTTATTTACTTGGATGTGGATTATATCGAGTTGTAAATGTGGGACAGGGTGAGCTCAAAGTTCTACTCTGTCATTTTCCCCAACCTCTCTTTAAGTTCAGGGTTTTTTTTTTAATCTGTATTTTTTAATGGATTTTTAAATTTAAATCTGTATTCTTTTTTTTTTTAAGTAAGTTCTATGCCCAATGGGGGCTTGAACTCACAACCCCTAGATGAAGAGTCACATGCTCTATGGATTGAGCCTGTCAGCCAGGTGCCCCTTTGAGTTCACTTTCACTTTAAATGGTAGAGTTGATATTTCTCTATCTTAGCACCCTATCCTTCAGAAAACTGCATATTTTGTAATTGTAATTCTGTCTCCTCCACTGTAAAAACAGCATGAGAGCAAAGGCTAAGTCTCTATGGTCACCACTGGCTCACCCAGCATTTGCCACATTTAGAGGCTTTCAGCAGATACAGCGGTACCCCACAGATCACTTACTAATTACAGAGTGGAGGTCACTGATTTAACAACCAGTCAAATTTAACATCATCAATAAGGGACCGACTGACCCTGTGATGTGAGGCACCAAGCAGGGACATGGCATCTGCCCCAAATGCTTGACTTGAATCTAATTATGAGGACACAATCAGACAAATCCAAACTGGGAACATTTTGCGAAACAGCTAAGCCTGGATCTCTTTAAAAATATGAGTGTCACAAGAGAAGACAATACAAAACAAAACTCTGGAGTAGTTCTTGATTACAGGAGCCTGAGAGATATAACTAAATGAAGTATGTAATTCTGGGTTTGATCCCAAATGAAAAAGGTAGGAAGGAAAGGAGGGAAGGCAGGGGAAGGGGAGGAGGGAAGGAGAAAGAATACAGCAAAAAGGACCCTAAGGAATGGGACTTCTGAGGCTATTTGAATATAGGATGTACATTACATAATGGTACTGCATCAGTGTTAAATTTTATGAGTGTGAGGATTATATTGTGGTTATACAAGAGAGTCTCTTGATCTCAGGAGTTACATGCCAAGTGTTTAAGGATGAAGTGTCATACCATCTGCAACTTATTCTCAGATGGTTCTCCAGAAAAACCTGGGTTCCCAAGAGCACAAGCATTCATGGGGAGAGGGGAGCAATTAAGCAGAAATGTTGACAGTTGTAGAATATGGTTGAAGACCACATGAGCTTGCAACTTTTCTGTGGATTTGAAAATTTTCAAAACAAAAACTGGAAGAAGATACATAAAGCATTTATGGAGTAAGTGGACTTTGGAATTTGAGTCTAAAGCCTGCAAACCTCTCTAAATGTCTTTCACACAAGAAGACACAAACGTTCTCAAGCTCTTAACACAGCATTTTGATTTTTTTCCTGACAAGTCCCTGTGAATCAGTCTAGGCCAGAGGTTTTTAATCCTGAGCCCTTGGAGGGGCACCGGGATGGCTCAGTTGGTTAAGCATCCAACTTTGGCTCAGGTCATGATCTCACAGTTGGTGAGCTCAAGCCTGGCGTCGGGCTCTGTGCTGACAGCTCAGAGCCTGGAGCCTGCTTTGGATTCTGGGTCTCTCTCTCTCTCTCTCTCTCTCTCTCTCTCCTGTCTCTCCCCTGCTCTCTCTCTCTCTCTCTCTCTCTCTCTCAAAAAAAAAAAAAACTTAAAAATAATAATAAATAAATGGGGAAAAAAATCCTTAGCCCTTGGACGAGCTTCCTGGGTTCCAGGAACCCCTGACATGCTAGGCAAAATGTGTGGGTCACTGCGTGTTTGTGTGTATGTGTGTATGTTTGTGTATTCTTTCCTTAGCATCCACCAGATTCTCAAAGGAGGCTGTGACCCAAAAATGGTTCCAAACCACTGGTCTGACTACTAGGTCCAACCCCTGCAGGGGCCCCATTCCTTGCCTCCACCCCCTCCTACCTCTGACCCCACACACCCTCCCTGCACCTTCCTCTCATCCCTCATCACCTAACCCACACCCATCTCACGTAACCTGCTCTCACACCTGCCAGGATGCTGAGGGTTCACCCACACATCGCTCTGGTGCAACACACTCCTGGATTTGGCTGACGCTTCACTAACTCAGCCCTGAAACATGCAGCCTATACCTCCACGGCCACACAGAGTATGTTTTTATGATTTTTTGGTGGGT